CATCACATAGCCTGGTAAGAGCTGCTCAAACTACTAAAAATATTTTTTTTATAACATAAAATATAGTCTCAGTGTTTTTGATTTCCCCAGATGTGTCCCTATGTTCCTTTAAAAAGGTTTGTGAAGATTCATCCTTTCAAATCACTGGCGGAACTCTGAGGGTCACAACGGTCGCATGTGTGATCGGGCCCTGGCATTCCATCACTTGTGGGGCCCAGAAAGGAAGAAGAGGGCCGGGTAACTGCCGAGGTGGGTGGCCCCTTCATGGTTTCTTGCACTGCGGCCCCGACATTTTTAAGTTATGCTTCTGTTTTAAACAGTGTATATGTGCGGGAGCGGTAGCTACTTTTGGCTCTGAGACTGCAAGAGGTCCCATGCGTTACCCAGCCTCCATTGTATTCCTCTGAGGGCTTCCATGTATTATTACTCTCTTATGGGCCCTCTTGTCCCTTGGTGCTCACATGGTGAAGTACACAATGTAATTAGAATACTTATCTCTACATTAATAACATTCTATTTTGAATTTACAGATCTTGCTCTAGTACAGCTAGGTAACTGTTCAGTGCAGTAGTTTGTGCATTAGGCACAAACTAAACAGATGTGTTTATGCTTGCTGCAGAAGTCTACTGCATGGTAGGTTTAGGAAGGATATGGACAATGGCAGTTATGTGATGCTTACCATGAGTTGTTGTTTTATGGAATGTAGTTGAAGAGAGGTAAAAATAGAACTGCATTATTCCTGTGGGATGATATACACAAGCATTAGCAAGTTTGAACACAGTACAGTGCACTGTTTCTTCTCCGTGAAGGCAGTCTGTTCTATTTCCATCTATGTGTTTAACAATGCATATATTAAAACCTGATACAAATGAAGTTTATGAAAGTCAAGAAGAGACTGACAATTGACAATTATTATGGAGAGAAGGATATACGTCTCTCAATCCCTTGGCTTCCAGCAGTCTACATGTTTAGAAAACAGTAGTGGCTGAATGCTTAAAAACTAGCTGTTAGTGTCTTTCAAGATTTTTTTTTTTTTTACCGTCTGATCTATTTTCTTTCTCTCTTCTTACAATTAAACTACACAGACATGCAAAATACTACAAAATAAAGTGCTACAGACTGTTTGACCAAAATGTGGGATTTTACTGAAAAATACCCACAAACTACAGTAATATGTATAGGTATACTGTATATATATATATAAAATAATTTTGCAGGGGTGGCCATACTGCAGGAGCAGTGAGACTACATATTTTGTCGAAGGAAGAAGTCAGGAAGACAGGAATGTTGGAGGGGGCACTGAGACCAGATTTTGAAGGAAAAGACAAAGAGAATATAGCTTATAATATTGTGTAGCAGAAAAGGACAACAATGCCACTAACTGGATCATAGAGAAGAGGGAGAAAAGAGGAAATAAGACCAGAATGTGGAAAAAGAGAGAGAAGCAGTGAGTTTGGAATATCATAAGATGGAAAGAAGAACCAGTGAGACCTGTGATGGAACGGTTGGCTGGATAGTGGAAGGGGGCAGAAGTCAGTGATATACTACAGCCCCACAAAGAATATATAATGTAGAAGCATGTTTAGTCTAATATAAATATTTGTGTCAGAGAGTGCACCTATGTGGAGCACTTGGATAGAATTTTCTGCTCCCCAAAGCTTCAATAATTCCTATGATCTGTGAATCACTGCCATGGTTGCAAACATTCATTATTGGATGTGTCCTTTCATTTCCCTCTTATTTAGCTGTACTCTCTTCTGTCTTGTGTTTCTTGTCTCTGTCTATTTGTGCATCTGCGGGAAGGGAAAGACCACTTCTGTTTTTAGTTTATGCTTTCCTCATGTCTTGAATTAATACAGGAACGCAGTTGTAGTGGACTTTAGATTGTCCCATATTTCCTATTGTCCCCCATACTTTGCTTTACTGTCTACTGTTGCAAACCGAGTATAGGGGAGGGGGAGGTTTGCCCCTGCTCTGACTTGTATGGTTGTTTTCTCAGAAATTGTATGTAATTTCTTTCTTTTTGTTGTAAAACTAATGATCTTTATTCTTTAAAAAATAAGTAAAGATGTGTGTAGCACCCGGTAAGCAGGAGTGCTTAGTAAAGTTAGTATTGTCATACTGATGCTGATTTGTAATCTATGCTCATCTGGTTTCCCCTAATCAGTCTGTCATTGTTTGCATTTGCCTGCTGCTGGGTGTACCCTAGCCAGATGGCAGAGCAACCAATGAGAGATTTCTATGAATATGTATGTCTCCCTAGCCAATCACTAGGTGGTTAATGGCCTGTGGTGCATGCTGGGAGAGGAGATAAATACTTGGGGTGGACCATGTGAGCTCTTCCCTTCCTCTCCCAGGCCCTGTTTAGGGGGATGCTGCTATGGACTATCTGAGATGGCTAGGCCTGAAGCCTGGGGACCAGCCATGTGCTTATACTTAGGCCTGACTCTGGGGCCCAGTGGCTACTACTGATACGAAGGATTAGGATGACTAATGATTCCTGATTCAAGTGCTGCTTTGCCAGGTGCTCTTCACACAGACTGTCATGTCTGGCTTAAAGGTCGTAGTCTGTGATGGCTGCAGTTACTGTATCCTACCTCTTAAAGGAGTCCACACCAGCCTGGATGATCCTGACCCTCAACCTCTCTCCCTGAAGTTCATCAATAAAGTTCCTCAGGATCATATCTACAGTCTGGATCTCGCTTTTATCGGTCACCATAGAGGGTGGTAGGTACTAATGGGTAATTTGAATCTGGATGCCCCTCGACATGGCGATGATAGATGGTTTACTATTCTCTGCGGCCCCTTTGGGGGTGTGGTACATGTATGGGACCTCGTCCGGGATCATCCTAGCCAGTTTCAAGCCATTTTTGTGAATTTCTGTGCTGCGGTAACCCACAGCAACAGACCCTATGACCGAGGAATTTTTGCCCAAATGTGCTAAATTTGTTCTGCAAACACTCCTAGGAACTATAGAGACTGTGTTCTGTCTCCATGTATGCTTTTATTTAAGAAATGACATTCCAGCCTTTTTTTACGTTTTCTGCCGGGGGAAAGGGGGTTAAAGAACCTCAGGACTTGAGCATGTGCCTTCTCCCAGGGAGGAGATGGCAACAGAAATCTCCAGAACCCACCAGCCTATTCTTACTACGTGGGGGAAAGAGCCACGCCCCCACTGATGTGATAAGACAGTCTGAACGACCATCCTCACATGAGCTGCGAAGCTGTATCTGACTGCTACTCCCACCTGCCATTACGAATTTCGCCGCTCTAGACTGGAAGATCACTGCACCTGAGATCACCACCCTCCCAGACCTACAGAGGGCGACTTTACCAATTCGTGCCTTCGTTTCCAGCCGAAAGGGAGCCTGGCACTATATACAATCAGAGGATACGAGGCGCTTGGAGTGGCTTGTCCTTGCTGCCCTGCTATTCAAATATTTGTTCCTGGAGTCACTGTCAACTCAAGTTTGCCACCCTAGGTGATGAAGGTAAACTGGACCATCAGTACTGCTACTACTGCGTTGGAGGAGCCGAATAAGTAATGAGGGGGAAGATAAACAAGATTCTGTTGCTAATGTTGCCACTTGCCCTGAGCATTCTGTCACTGCTTCATCTGTGACTGTGTCATCACCTATATCCTCTGTCAAAGCAAACAAGGCAGATATACCTCCCAGAAAGCCAGGGTCTACTATACCACGTATAGTTACCTGCAGGCCCAAGAGACCAGATCATGCTGCTGGGATTCCTGTTAAAAAGTTTCCGGATACCTTCATTCCACTTGGCTGTGGGAATCCCAAAACCTTAACTACCTGTAAGTTAGCATGTTTACAGAGAGTGGTATTGAAACGTATGGCTCAAGAGTATGGTTTGTTATACCCTTATGTACCTCAAGGAATCATGAGGGAAATTGAAGATAAGCGCAACCAATGGTATGGTGAAGCTGTTAGTACATACTTAGGTATGTCACTGGACCAGGCCTTCTTCTATTACCAACGCCAATTCGAAGGTTGTATAGAGAATTTGAGTTATGGTCGCCACATTTACGCCAATTGTGTAGTCATCAGGAGGCCAAACCACATGGATGTAAAGCACATAATTACTACAGTGGACAATAAAGGCCAAAAATTCAACTGCTTGACCCTGCCTACTACTGGTGAAGTCTTCCTTGAGTAATGTTGTGATATTGCAGCAATTAAAGTTAAGCTGTGATGTCTAATAGAAGAAGTTTGTAACCTGTTTGAAAGAAATTTACGTCGGGGAAAGAACTCTCAAAAAGATTACCCCTGTGAGAACCCACAAATCCTTCATTATTGAAAAAAATAATAGAGCTTTACTATAAATTGATTTCTTACCTATTGGGGTCAGAACTCTCTAAAATAGATCACCCCTTTCTACTGCATGTTTGCAACTTGAAGGAGGATTTGTGCCCAGGAGTCAGGACCCTCTGTTAAGATCACTGCTGTGAACTATGGCCTGATACCCTCACCCATCCTGACAAGTACCTGGAAGGAAGGATTGTACACAGCCCAATGCTTCTTTCAAGGGCTTGCTTGCTTTTTTTTTCTTGGAAGCAAGAACTCTCTACTAGACCACTTCCATAAGTCAGCAGCCTGTACTCCCACTGGTGTATATATAAATATATGTGCTTTGTATGTATAATTAGGATCATAGCACAGGATTATAGGATAAGTGTTTATGTTTACTGCTTTGGCTGAGGCAGTAGTTTATATAGTTCATCTGGACTATGTGTTAAGACTATCACAGAGGGGATAGAGGATTTCATCGGCTACACTCTCAAAAGTCTTTTATTGGGAACCCTCTCATTAAGTGTGTATAGTTTCCTGCTCAGGGATGGACTTTTATAATATTACTGCTAGTAGTGAGAGCAGAGTTTTACTCCTTAGGGAGTTGGGCTCTGGCCTCATGTACATTTAGGATGTAATGTAGGATAATGTAACCGTCATATATGCTTTTGTTTTGTTGTCTTCTTGTTACAGGGGCGACATGAGGACCTGATCAGCGGCTATAGGACTATAGGATTTAGGTGATAGGAATTTGTTTATTAGAATAGGATTTATTCTCTGGATAGAAGTAGGGCTCTACTTCACATGTACAGCTATTGATCCAGATTTTGTGTGTGCTATTGAATGTAACTAAGTAATTTAGCTAGAGATAGATAGTAAGATATTACTACTGAAATGTTTGTATTTTAATACTGATTTATCTCCACGTGGAATGCCACATGTATGTTGTTAATTCGTTAATCTTTCCCTTTTCTTCCCCTCCCTATCCAATTTTTTTCAGGACATCCGGAGTCTTTGTGTAGACTCCGGGACATAGTCTTCTAAATGGGGGGAGGGGGGTTGGAGTGTGTGGTACCCTGTAAGCAGGAGTGATTAGTAAAGTTAGTATTGTCAGATTGTAATCAGTCTGATGCTGATTTGTAATCTATGCTCATCTGGAGGTTAATGGCCAGTGATGCATGCTGGGAGAGGAGATAAATACTTGAGGTGGACCATGTGAGCTCTTCTCTTCTTCCCCCGGGCCCTGCCTAGGGGGAGGCTGCTATGGACTGTCTGAGATGGCTAGGTCTGGAGCTTGGGGACTAGCCATGTGCTTATACTGAGGCCTGACTCTGGGGCCCAGTGGCTAGTACTGATACCAAGGGTGAGGATGACTAATGATTCATGATTCAAGTGCTGTTTTGCCAGGTGCTCTTCACAAAGACTGTAATGTCTGACCTAAAGGTCCTAGTCTGTGATGGCTGCAGTTACTCTATCCTACCACTTAAAGGAGTCTACACCAGCCTGGATGATCCTGACCCTCAACCTCTCTCCCTGAAGTTTATCAATAAAGTTCCTCAGGATCATATCTACAGTCTGGGTCTCACTTTTATCGGTCACCATTGAGGGTGTTAGGTGCTAGTGGGTAATTTGAATCTGGATACCCCTAGACATGGTGATGATGGATGGTTCACTATTCTCTGCGGCCCCTTTGGGGGTGCGGTACATATGTAATATGTGTAACCTGCTCTCACAATCGGACCACGATGAGAGCAGGATCAAAGACAGATGCTAAACATTATATAGCTACCTGCTCCCTGTTTATACCTACAATCACAGCACACATGGCATCTACAAGTCACAATGGAAGTTAAGACTTCCTTCGACAAAACTCTGTAATCACCAGTTTTAAAGGGGGTGGATAACATCTCAATGGCTGTCCTATTCTGTTGAAGTCTAAATAAGTACCTAGGAAAATGTAACAAATTCCTATAGAATTAATGTATGTATTATTTCATAGATATCGAAGGAGAGATCAAAACCACTGGAAGATTGGCCATGTATAGCTCAACATGCATATCACAATCACATAGCAATTCATATCTGCTCATGTGAAACAAATTCTTTTTTCTACAGCAAAGCTGTCTCTTGAACTGCTTGCAAGTTATGCCTTGACTAATGGCAAACATTTAGAATTTTTCTCTGTTGTGTCTGGTTGTCTCAACTGTTTGTCAATAGCTTTTGAGATGAGATAAAATGTTCTCATCTGCAGATCGGAAGATTGGTCAATGGATTATTTTATTTTTTTTGATTAAAAGAAACATGTTCTTCAAGAAATATGGTGATTGCCATTGCGGACCTCTCTTTCTGAAAATACTAATCGTCTGGCTGTCCTTCTGCTTCAATGGCTTCAGTACTCTGTGCTGAAGCCATTGAAACAACCATTGAATGGCCTCAGTATAATGATCAGGAACAAGTTAAAAAAACAGTTCCTTGGCATGTTTCTTCCAGTTCTGTGAGAAAGAAGGATTAAGAGCTAGGTAAGACAGAGAATTTACATTTTTAGGACAGAGAGGGCAGCCTACATATTTCTCACACCCCAAATTTCACTTAATGAGTCAGCATAGTAAGAATATATCTGTAGCTGGATGAAAAAAAAACACTCCGTTGTCTCAATGTAAAATAAATAAATAATTGTACATATGAGAAAAAGCTCAACGTTTTCACAATGAACAATTGATTTGCAATTAAACCCATCAGTCACTGGTCAGTTTGATTATTTAATGCTAAGTAGTCATCCTTTGCAGAAAGGTTTCTATTAGACAACCTCCTACTACTTCTTGTGTAATACTCAACAGTAGCTACTTCAATTTGACATTTTATAAAAGGCATTCTTCAATCAATTTCCATAACTAAGCTCTCATTAAGTTTGTGTGACTCACCAGTGCATCTGTCAGTGCTATAGCTAGAGGCCACTTTAAATTTGGAGGCTGCAGCCTCCTATCATCTCTTTGCCCTTAAAAACCTACCATACACCCAAATACCACACACATTATAACTATCATGTGATGTAGAAATGACCTTTTAATGGTGACATAGAGAATTTTGCTGCTTTTATTACAGCAAGATGAGTGATGGGATGATAAGCATCTGGATGCCAAAACAGCATATGAAGGTCTATTAGGTACTAAGTAGCATGTACTGTCATCTGCCCCCACTGACAGATTCAGAAACCTGCGCTGAAATATAGAATCAAAGCTAAAAAAGAATATATCACTGGCTTATTGTCAGATTGGTGAATTATCACCATCAGAAAGGATATGTGATCACTTTTTTTAAAAGGATAAAATGACAGTTGATCTGGAAGTTGGTAAAAAAATGTATGCAGTAATTAATGAAATATGTTCACCAAAGGTAGGGGAACATTTATTTGTGTGCTTAACATACTGTTTTTATATATTAGCTAAAAGTGCTGAGAAAAATAAAAGCACATCCTGTAACATGTAGTACATTCATTTCAATTGCTCTATTCATCCCACCCATTTCTTATGTAGTTTCACAATCTTCACAATGGATTGTACCATTCTTAAGCCCACTACTGAGTTCTGAAACAAGAACTGTCCATTCAACTGATCATTTCAATACAGTGTTTTGACCTCCTTGTGAGCTATTCATTAACTTCTGTTTGTCAATCATCAACTGTATGCTGTGTTAAAAAGGCTTACAATGGCTTATCTCATATTAATTTAATCAACAGCAGGGGCTGCACGAGAGCAGCAACGGGGCCGCCTGTGAAAAAAGCTGCGGAAAGCACCAGGTTGCTGTTTGCTCTCACTTTTTACCAGGACACCTCTAACAGAACTAACTCTAGTATTCTGAGGTGTCATCACCTTTTCGCGCTTGCCATGTTCCTCAATCTGTTTTTCCAAGTGCTTCTGTATAGCCATGCCTAAAACCTCAACTTCCATTGAAGCTCCATATACTTCCCAGGTCATCCCTTTTTCATCCCAGCTGACCTCCCGTACTGGCTCTGGATTATCTGACTTGACTTCTTTCACATGAACCTCAGGATAAGAAGCTTGCGGTGATTTTCCTCTTGGTGTCATCGGGTCAGTTGCAATAGATCTGGTTTCTACTGGAAAGGACACTTGCATCTCAGCATCTTTCATAGCTGGCTTTTCTAAAAGCTGCATTTGCAATGATGAGGCTTGGTTTACCAAATCCGTTTGAAATACAAATGAACTTGATCCATCCAGTGGAATCATGGGACTTATAGCTATTGATGAACACTGTACCGTAATATCAACTTGAGTTCCTACATCTTGGTACTGTGGCTTTGTCTCTCCTGATATCTTTGGAAGTTCACTAATATTGCAAGGGTCTTGCTTTTGGGTCTGGTCATGTTGCTTAATTTGTTCTTCCTTAAAGGGAAATGATGAAGATTCCTGTGAAAAAACAAAAGGACTGACAGCCACAGATACAAACTCCACTTTTTGTTCAGCCTGCGTGCCCACATCCTCATCAGGGGGTGTTATTTCAAATGAATATGTTTTAGATAGCACATCCCCACCAGCTGAATCCTCTTTTGTCTCATTTTCTTTTGAAGTAACAGTTGCTGCTTTATTTTGAAAAGTAAAAGAAACTTCATCAGGCGGTATTATTGGGCTCACTGCTATGGATCTATATTCTACTCGTGGTGTAGCTCTAGTGTCTTCATCAGGAGGCGTTAGCTCAAATGAGTATGTTTTTGGAAAATTATCTGCAGTTTTCATCTTCTCATCTTTGTTGTGCTTTGCCACAGGTGAAAGAGTTGTCTTATCAGATAAGAAAGTGAAAGAGGATGATCCACCTGATAAGATAATTGGACTGACTGCCACCGATACACATTGCACACTAGTGCCAGCCTGTATGCTTGCATCTTCATTATGTCCACATTTTGCACAACTGGGTTGCTTGTCTTGAATTGTGTCTCCACTTTGTTGTTCTGATTGAAATACAAATGAGGAAGAATCACCTGGCAGGATAATGGGGCTAACTGCAACTGACACACACTCTGCCCTGGCCTGAGTCCCAACATCCTGACTGGGAGGTAGCAATTCAACAGAACATGTTTTAAGTGTCATCTGACCTCCCACCGTGCTACCGCAATCAGTTCTTAATGGATGAAATGTAAATGAAGAACCCTCCTGTATAATTATGGGACTCACAGCTACTGATTTATATTCCACTGCCATTCCACTGGGATTGATGTGTTCTGGTGAACAAACTTTTTGGAGGTTGTCAGTTTTTCCACCATCTGTCCTTTGAATTGTAGCAGATGCCTTTGGATCTCCTTGAGGTTGTGCACTATGATCTGTCTGAAATATGAATGATGATGTTTCACCTGGTGGAATAATAGGACTTACAGCTACAGACCTATACCTTGTCTCTGTTCCACCATCGGGAGGAGTGAGCTCAAATGAATATGTTTTTGATAGATCTTCTTTATTGCCTGTCTCCTTATCATCAGTCCCTACTTCATATTTATTTTCACCACTTGGTCGTGGAGCCCTTGTTTGAAAAGAAAAAGACGATTGTCCATCAGGTGGAACAATTGGGCTAACAGCAATAGATCTGTACTCTTTTTCTTGTGTATTATCCTGTCTGTTTGACAGCATTTGGTCTGATATTTGTGTTTTTCCACTTAATTCCCCATTAGAAAACTCCTTACATCCCACCCATCCTTTTACTTGGGTTTCATTTTTATGTTCCTTAGCAGTGATGTT